CTCTCTCTCTTGGTTTCAGACTCTATCCACTGTCCTCTCTCTCTCTGGTTTCTGACTCTATCCACTGTCCTCTCTCTCTCTGGTTTCAGACTCTATCCACTGTCCTCTCTCTCTCTCTGGTTTCTGACTCTATCCACTGTCCTCTCTCTCTCTGGTTTCAGACTCTATCCACTGTCCTCTCTCTCTCTGGTTTTGACTCTATCCACTGTCCTCTCTCTCTCTCTCTGGTTTCAGACTCTATCCACTGTCCTCTCTCTCTCTGGTTTCTGACTCTATCCACTGTCCTCTCTCTCTCTGGTTTCTGACTCTATCCACTGTCCTCTCTCTCTCTCTGGTTTCTGACTCTATCCACTGTCCTCTCTCTCTCTCTGGTTTCAGACTCTATCCACTGTCCTCTCTCTCTCTGGTTTCTGACTCTATCCACTGTCCTCTCTCTCTCTGGTTTCTGACTCTATCCACTGTCCTCTCTCTCTCTGGTTTCTGACTCTATCCACTGTCTCTCTCTCTCTGGTTTCAGACTCTAATCCACTGTCCTCTCTCTCTCTGGTTTCAGACTCTATCCACTGTCCTCTCTCTCTCTGGTTTCAGACTCTATCCACTGTCCTCTCTCTCTCTCTGGTTTCAGTCTCTATCCACTGTCCTCTCTCTCTCTGGTTTCTGACTCTATCCACTGTCCTCTCCTCTCTGGTTTCAGACTCTATCCACTGTCCTCTCTCTCTCTCTGGTTTCAGACTCTATCCACTGTCCTCTCTCTCTCTGGTTTCTGACTCTATCCACTGTCCTCTCTCTCTTCTGGTTTCTGACTCTATCCACTGTCTCTCTCTCTCTCTGGTTTCAGACTCTATCCACTTGTCCTCTCTCCTCTGGTTTCAGACTCTATCCACTGTCCTCTCTCTCTCTGGTTTCTGACTCTATCCACTGTCCTCTCTCTCTCTGGTTTCAGACTCTATCCACTGTCCTCTCTCTCTCTGGTTTCAGACTCTATCCACTGTCCTCTCTCTCTCTGGTTTCAGACTCTATCCACTGTCCTCTCTCTCTCTGGTTTCAGACTCTATCCACTGTCCTCTCTCTCTCTGGTTTCTGACTCTATCCACTGTCCTCTCTCTCTCTGGTTTCTGACTCTATCCACTGTCCTCTCTCTCTCTCTGGTTTCAGACTCTATCCACTGTCCTCTCTCTCTCTGGTTTCAGACTCTATCCACTGTCCTCTCTCTCTCTCTGGTTTCAGACTCTATCCACTGTCCTCTCTCTCTCTGGTTTCAGACTCTATCCACTGTCCTCTCTCTCTCTGGTTTCTGACTCTATCCACTGTCTCTCTCTCTCTGGTTCTGACTCTATCCACTGTCCTCTCTCTCTCTGGTTTCTGACTCTATCCACTGTCCTCTCTCTCTCTCTGGTTTCAGACTCTATCCACTGTCCTCTCTCTCTCTGGTTTCTGACTCTATCCACTGTCCTCTCTCTCTGGTTTCTGACTCTATCCACTGTCCTCTCTCTCTCTCTGGTTTCTGACTCTATCCACTGTCCTCTCTCTCTCTCTGGTTTCTGACTCTATCCACTGTCCTCTCTCTCTGGTTTCAGACTCTATCCACTGTCCTCTCTCTCTCCCTGGTTTCTGACTCTATCCACTGTCCTCTCTCTCTCTCTGGTTTCTGACTCTATCCACTGTCCTCTCTCTCTCTCTGGTTTCAGACTCTATCCACTGTCCTCTCTCTGAATTAAAAGGCTCGAAAAGCCCAAAAATAAATCTAAAAAAAGAGTGGAGAAGAACAAACTGGAGAACAGGAAACATGCAGCAGCAGGTTGATTAGAGCACGGAGATGGAGAGGTAGCGTGAAGATATGGCGGGCGGAAAGCTTCTACACGCCAAGCTGCAACAAAAAACGACCGCTGTGTCGCTAAAACGTCGCACTGTGGTACGCAACTGATCGCCGCCTGATGCGTTTTGTGAATGTGCGAGAGGCGAGAATTCTCCAGACCAGCAGGTGGCGGCCGTCTGAAAGACCCCGGGCCGAGGCGTTTGTTTACCTTGACCTCCACTTGAGAAAATGTCAGACGATATGCCCACATGGTGACCTGAGTGAGCATCCACTCTAGAGAGGGGGGGGGGGGGCAGCTCTCTATGATGTTTAGAATTTAGACTGCAGTACACATTTTAAACACCAGGAAGGGAGGAGGGAAGAGGACTCATAAAACATGTTCTGTTGGAGGTCTTAACTTTCACTAAGTGGGATCTGAGGTTCAGGAGAGGAAAGCTTTCTGCTGGATGTGACACTAAAGAGGTCAGAGACGCTCACAGGAAGAGGTAGAACATAAAGAAACGACAGATGAAGAGAAGACGAGTGATGGAAAAGAACTTACTTTGGAAACTAGCAATGGACAGATCTCCTGAAAGGCATGCAAACAAAAAGTTCCCACAAAGAGAAAGTGGATTATCATGCAGGAGGCAGAGAGTCAGAGACACGGGGGGGGGGGGGGGGGGACGACACACGCAGCCAAGCAGTCGAAGCATGAAATCCATTTACTACAGACACACTGACACAGGATGTGATCTGTTTCATAACTACAGTTCTTATTTCTTCTTCACTTGTTTTAAATACCACAACGTCATCTCTGTTATGAAGGGACTGATGTGTTGGAGTACTCCAGACCCCTTTTTGAAGGTCTCGTCTCGGTCTCTGGATTTTAAATCAGGACCGGTCAGACCACCACTGATCGTCTGTTTCCCACATCATCACTGAGATCAGAAGGAGAACTCCTCTTTCTAAAAGAACAAATAACTTCAGTTCATTCAGAGTTTATTTTTATCACCAGGTTACGACCGCAGCCTTCCCGGGGTCACGGTCTAAGTGATTGACCCACGCCAACCAACGGTGATTCAACATGTGGAATTGGCTGAAAAAGGGCCGACGGGTAGCGACGGAGCCGGACATACCGCAAAAACTAGGGTGACGATCGCTCACCGTTGGCTCGAGTTGGACCGACAGCTGAAGATGGCGTGTCAGCGCCCCCCCTCCCAAGTCCCCCGCTGGCCGTCACTCACATTGCTCGAGGCCGCGGGGTCCAGTCACCTCTGAGTTCTTGTAGGTTTTATCCAGCTGAATCATGTGTGCATAAATTTCAAGTAATCATGCTGCAGCACACCTCTTCCAACCGTGCCAGGCCTGACCCTGACCCCTGACCCCTAAACCTGACCCCAGGCCAAGGAAGTGTACCATGCTCGGGCACAATGAGGAGCACTCACAGTGGTCAGAGCTGGACTTTGAGGGTCAAACATGCTTTGGGATTTGTTAGTCCGGGTCAGAAGACGGCTGGATTATCTGACCCTCTGCAGATTGTGCAGATCATTCTTAAAACTTTGGATCATGTTCTAAATGAAAGAGGTTCCCTTCAGTCCAGCGTGCGTCTCCACAGTGAACCCTCTCTCTCCTGAACACCATGAGGTAAACTTTCTTCTTCACTGTGAGATTAAATCCTGATCAGAAAAACATCTCCATCCCGCTTCTTAAAATAAAATCCTTCACGTCTACAGAAACATCCAGGACGACTCGTCTGATTTGCTCGTTTCAAAGAGCGTCTGTTTGATGGCGAGTCGTAGTAAAAATAAACCTGCAGCAGACAGGCGGTCACGGCCTCCAGGTATTTAAGGAAACGCATGAGAGGAGGAACGCTCACCGAGACACAAGAAGAAGAACGATAGACGAGGACGTGCAGAGAGAGAGAGAGAGAGAGAGAGACATCAAAACATGAGCGGTAAACAAACAGAGACAAACAGAGCCCCCCCACACAGACACACGCACGCACACACGCACGCACGCACGCACGCACGCACGCACGCACGCACGCACGCACACGCACACACGCACACACAGACACACAGCACACACACGACACACGCACACACAGACACACGCACACGCACACGCATGCACGCACGCACGAACGCACGCACGCACACACACACACCACCTACTCTGCAGACTGGGCAGGTTGGCGTCCTCGGGTTTGGTTTTCAGGAGGTGAGGAAGACGAGTGTATCTGTAGCCGAAACCACAACCCTGAAAAAACAAACAAAATGTGACGTGTGGCGTTTAAACAAACAAACAACAACAACAAAAATAATAACAACAACAACAAATAATCACAACAACAACAGGTTCTACACAAATCAGACAACCAGCGTCTAATTGAGAACGGCGTTCATTTGTAAAAACGTGCCACTAGTAAAAGGAGTGTGTGTGTGTGTGTGTGTGTGTGTGTGTGTGTGTGTACTTACCCTCCACAGTCTGACCAGGATCCAGTTGGTCTGAGCCCACGGTCTCTGTTCATACGGAGCGAGCAGATTCCTCATCATGGCGACTCGTCTGAGATCACAACAACGAGAATTATTGTCACAGGAAGCAACGAGGCGGTTTCAAGCCTCACCAGGTAGAACGCCCAGGTAGAACGCCACCCTCAACAGGAAGACCAATCACGCACTTTTCTCGCCATCAGAAAGCTCGCAGCATTTTAATGATTGTCTTCCCTTCCACAGAGTTGAATGTAACTCAGAGTGTGCTCAGTAAGAAGTCTGCAGGATTGATCAGAGGCATTAAGTGATACAGAGCAGACAGGTGATAGGCCACGCCCACTTTCATAAATCAACATGGACAGCAGTAGCTCAGTCTGTAGGGACTGGAGGGTCACTGGTTCAAGTCCCGATGTGGACCAAAGTATGGAAGTTAGTCTGGTGGCTGGAGAGGTGTCAGGTCACTTCCTGAGTACTGCCGAGGTTCCCAAGTTATGGACTTCTTTTTTTTTTTTTTTAACTGGCATTGGAGGACAGATGTTTTAAAGAGGCACCCCCCCCCCCCCCCCCCCCCCCCCCTCTGACTCTCTCCATCAGTCCACAGGTCCTGTGTGTGCACATTTTTAGTTCATAGGTAAATATCTTAAAACTAAATAAGATATCAACAACCGTTATACAGTAAATAAAAGCTTTGTCATATGAGCGTCCAATCAGACATCAAGGAGGAGATATGTGGCTTTTTCAAAAATGGAGTTTTGTTTCCTTAATAACAGCGCCACCATCTGGCCTATTGGGTTCATATTTATTGGGATTTATTCATTTACAGTTACTGTGCCGTGTTTCCTGTTCCTACGTCGTTCCATCTCAGGGATTCGAGCCGCGACATAAGACGGAAAATAATACTAAAATAAATCAGCTGAAAATACTGAAGAACTTTTACTGAGAAACTAAAAACAAACTGAGATCTGATCCACACTCACTGCTCCTCTGGGATCCTCTCCACTGCCCTGAGGGATTGTGGGTAACAGACGTAGCTGGCCAGAGCCTGCATCAGAGAGTCTTTGATATCTGAGAGACAGAGAGGAAAGAGTTAAACACATAAAGACGAGCTGCATTCAGCTTTTTAAACACTTTACATATTGAAACCTCCAGAGTGTGATGAAGAAACGTCCTAACAGGCTGCACTCATCACTCTGCAGGACGACTTTAAGTAAATGTCAGGTGAGCAGGAGGGTCGACCACAAAGTGAGACGAGCGAGCGGGCTTCTAACCTGGACAGATCACCATGGTAACTGACTCCAGTACGCAAATTCATTTGATTTTTTACCCTTTCTATCCCCAGTGATGAGCTGTGCTATCAGTTACACAATTTATCGTCTTAGCTCGTTTCTTTAGGGACTCAAAAACAAAGAGGAATCTGCACAGTCACAATTTAAAGTACTTTGTAACTTGCAACAATCCAAACACTTTTTTTCTTTTGTTTTCTCCTCCTGGTCAGAGAGGAAGTCATGTGTTGGTTCTAACTCGTCTTAGAAAATAAAGGATTGGGAACGTAAACATGAGCAATCAGCTGATTCATCAGTGTGTGTGTGTGTGTGTGTGTGTGTGTGTGTGTGTGTGTGTGTGTGTGTGTGTGTGTGTGTGTGTGTGTGTGTGTGTGTGTGTGTGTGTGTGTGTGTGTGTGTGTGTCTGTGTGTGTGTGTATCTGCTGCAGAGAGAGGACGGAGACGCAGCGGAGCGTCACACTGAAGGAAAACATGTGTGTCTGTGTGTGTGTGTGTGTGTGTGTGTGTGTGTGTGTGTGTGTGTGTGTGTGTGTGTTACCTGTCCCGACTATGCGTGGGTCAGCAAAGTGTTTGGCGAGGATGGCGGCGAGCTGAGTCAGTGTTTCTTCGTAGCCTGCGGGCAGAGAAACACACGTGTTCAGAGACGAGCTGAGGCAGCAGCTTCCATGTGACACACAGGTGATGAAGACGGTGTCTGTGTGTGTGTGTGTGTGTGTGTGTGTGTCCACAAATCGATGTGTAAGGCCCCCCCAGCGTGATGATCGATGGTCATGTTTATGGTCGCTGGTCGCGGCGTGTTACCTGGCAGCTCGTCCATGCTGTTGGCGGGGCTGAAGTAGTTCTTCAGGGCGCTGTACGCGTTCATCGCCACGTTGAGGTAGAACTCCGGAGCGAAGGCGAACAGAGAGCCCGTGTTGTCAGCGTGTTCGATGGTCCGGATACAAACACACAGCAGCCAGTACACATCCAGCATCTTGTCCTGCACACACACACACACACAGAGACACACACACACACAGAGACACACACACACACACACACACACACACACACACACACACACAGAGACACACACACACAGAGACACACACACACACACACACACACACACACACACACACACACACACACACACACACACACAGAGACACACACACACAGAGACACACACACACACACACACACACACACACACACACACACACACACACACACACACACACACACACACACACACACACACACACACACACACACACACACACACACACACACACAAAGAGAATCGGCTGCATGAGAATAAAGATCCTGAAAACAAACAGAAAGTAACAACAGAAGAAGAAAAGACGATTCTGTTTCTCCTCGCCGTCTTTGTTTAAACTTCCTGTTTCCAGAACTTGAATCACTACATTCAATAAAAAGCTCTAATGGAGCTACCTTCAGATGATAACAAAGACATTTCACAAACACTCGGCCCAAACAAACATTTTCACATCTTCTCTCCTCGTCTTTTTATTTTCGTTTTCTTCTTCATGTGAATGTCAGCGCCGCTCCAGCTCCCTCCTGACACATTAGGAAGACTCTGGATGGAAACTTGGCTTGGAGCCGCCCGACATGTTTGTAATTATTTCAAAGAAATAACAAACAAACCACAGAGCGTTGTTATCTGCCCCTCAGTGCGTGGTGAGTCCTCGTATGAAAACACACAAAAAGACGACTAAGCTGCTAATAAACAGCTACAGATTAAACATCCCTTTAGATGCACGTAGCGGCCATATTGGATATGAACTTGGGCTACTCTTTTTTCTCAGAGTTTCCGAGTCGTAATTACGACTTCAGGGAGCGTTCCAGTTGACACTTAAGACTGGGAACTGGGAATTTCCCACTTACGAGATCAACTGGAACAAATGCTTCCACCACCACAAATGCTCTGAAGTCTCTAACCCTAACCCTAACCCTAAGGGGGGATAGTCTCTAAGAGGGTTTAGTCTCTAAGGGGGGTTAGTCTCTAAGGGGGTTTAGTCTCTAAGGGGGGTTAATCTCTAAGGGGGTTAGTCTCTAAGAGGGTTTAGTCTCTAAGGGGGGTTAGTCTCTAAGGGGGGTTAGTCTCTAAGAGGGTTTAGTCTCTAAGGTGGTTTAGTCTCTAAGGGGGGTTAGTCTCTAAGGGGGTTTAGTCTCTAAGGTGGTTTAGTCTCTAAGGTGGTTTAGTCTCTAAGGGGGTTAGTCTCTAAGGGGGTTAGTCTCTAAGGGGGTTTAGTCTCTGAGGTGGGTTAGTCTCTAAGAGGGGTTAGTCTCTAAGGGGGTTTAGTCTCTAAGGTGGTTTAGTCTCTAAGGTGGTTTAGTCTCTAAGGGGGGTTAGTCTCTAAGAGGGTTAGTCTCTAAGAGGGTTTAGTCTCTAAGGGGGGTTAGTCTCTAAGGTGGTTTAGTCTCTAAGAGGGTTTAGTCTCTAAGGGGGTTAGTCTCTAAGAGGGTTTAGTCTCTAAGGTGGTTTAGTCTCTAAGAGGGTTTAGTCTCTAAGAGGGTTTAGTCTCTAAGGGGGGTTAGTCTCTAAGGGGGGTTAGTTTCTAAGAGGGCTAGTCTCTAAGGGGGGTTAGTCTCTAAGGTGGTTTAGTTTCTAAGAGGGGCTAGTCTCTAAGGGGGGTTAGTCTCTAAGGGGGTTTAGTCTCTAAGGTGGTTTAGTCTCTAAGGGGGTTTAGTCTCTAAGGTGGTTTAGTCTCTAAGAGGGTTTAGTCTCTAAGGGGGTTAGTCTCTAAGAGGGTTTAGTCTCTAAGGGGGGTTAGTCTCTAAGAGGGGCTAGTCTCTAAGGGGGTTAGTCTCTAAGGGGGTTAGTCTCTAAGGTGGTTTAGTTTCTAAGAGGGGCTAGTCTCTAAGGGGGTTAGTCTCTAAGGGGGGTTAGTCTCTAAGGGGGTTTAGTCTCTAAGGTGGTTTAGTCTCTAAGAGGGTTTAGTCTCTAAGGGGGGTTAGTCTCTAAGGTGGTTTAGTCTCTAAGAGGGTTAGTCTCTAAGGGGGGTTAGTCTCTAAGAGGGGTTAGTCTCTAAGGGGGTTTAGTCTCTAAGGTGGTTTAGTCTCTAAGAGGGTTTAGTCTCTAAGAGGGTTTAGTCTCTAAGGGGGTTTAGTCTCTAAGAGGGTTTAGTCTCTAAGGGGGGTTAGTCTCTAAGAGGGGTTAGTCTCTAAGGGGTTAGTCTCTAGAGGGGTTTAGTCTCTAAGGGGGTTTAGTCTCTAAGGTGGTTTAGTCTCTAAGAGGGTTTAGTCTCTAAGGGGGTTAGTCTCTAAGAGGGTTTAGTCTCTAAGGGGGTTAGTCTCTAAGAGGGTTTAGTCTCTAAGGGGGGTTAGTCTCTAAGGTGGTTTAGTCTCTAAGAGGGTTTAGTCTCTAAGGGGGGTTAGTCTCCTAGGGGGTTTAGTCTCTAAGAGGGGTTAGTCTCTAAGGGGGTTTAGTCTCTAAGGGGGGTTAGTCTCTAAGGGGGGTTAGTCTCTAAGGGGTTAGTCTCTAAGGGGTTTAGTCTCTAGGGGGTTTAGTCTCTAAGGTGGTTTAGTCTCTAAGGGGGGTTAGTTCTCTAAGGTGAGTTAGTCTCTAAGGGGGTCTAGTCTCTAAGGGGGGTTAGTCTCTGAGGTGGTTTAGTTTCTAAGGGGGTTTAGTCTCTAAGAGGGGTTAGTCTCTAAGGGGGGTTTAGTCTCTAAGGTGGTTTAGTCTCTAAGGTGGGTTAGTCTCTAAGAGGGGTTAGTCTCTAAGGGGGGTTAGTCTCTAAGGTGGTCTAGTCTCTAAGGGGGGTTAGTCTCTGAGGTGGTTTATTCTCTAAGGGGGGTTAGTCTCTAAGGGGGTCTAGTCTCTAAGGGGGGTTAGTCTCTGAGGTGGTTTAGTCTCTAAGGGGGGTTAGTCTCTAAGAGGTTTAGTCTCTAAGGGGGGTTAGTCTCTAAGGTGAGTTAGTCTCTAAGGGGGTCTAGTCTCTAAGGGGGGTTAGTCTCTGAGGTGGTTTAGTCTCTAAGGGGGTCACCTTGGAGTAGATGGTGGCGTTGATCCAGGCCAGTCTCCGGCTCAGGTGGTTCAGTTTCTCTGCAAAGACTTTCTGACTCTTCTGGAGTTCGTCCAGGATGTCGGCTCTCTGATGGAGACAAAACACAACGAGCAGCTCGTTAGTCATCAAAGAACCAGAGACCTGACGTCCATAATCATACATGACACATACAGACAGCAGGTTCTCTACACGATCAGTCATCTTCACTGAAGTCCATCACTGACTACAGACAGCAGGTTCTCTACACGATCAGTCATCTTCACTGAAGTCCATCGCTGACTACAGACAGCAGGTTCTCTACACGATCAGTCATCTTCACTGAAGTCCATCACTGACTACAGACAGCAGGTTCTCTACACGATCAGTCATCTTCACTGAAGTCCATCGCTGACTACAGACAGCAGGTTCTCTACACGATCAGTCATCTTCACTGAAGTCCATCGCTGACTACAGACAGCAGGTTCTCTACACGATCAGTCATCTTCACTGAAGTCCATCGCTGACTACAGACAGCAGGTTCTCTACACGATCAGTCATCTTCACTGAAGTCCATCACTGACTACAGACAGCAGGTTCTCTACACGATCAGTCATCTTCACTGAAGTCCATCACTGACTACAGACAGCAGGTTCTCTACACGATCAGTCATCTTCACTGAAGTCCATCGCTGACTACAGACAGCAGGTTCTCTACACGATCAGTCATCTTCACTGAAGTCCATCACTGACTACAGACAGCAGGTTCTCTACACGATCAGTCATCTTCACTGAAGTCCATCGCTGACTACAGACAGCAGGTTCTCTACACGATCAATCATCTTCACTGAAGTCCATCGCTGACTACAGACAGCAGGTTCTCTACACGATCAATCATCTTCACTGAAGTCCATCGCTGACTACAGACAGCAGGTTCTCTACACGATCAGTCATCTTCACTGAAGTCCATCGCTGACTACAGACAGCAGGTTCTCTACACGATCAGTCATCTTCACTGAAGTCCATCACTGACTACAGACAGCAGGTTCTCCACACGATCAATCATCTTCACTGAAGTCCATCACTGACTACAGACAGCAGGTTCTCTACACGATCAATCATCTTCACTGAAGTCCATCACTGACTACAGACAGCAGGTTCTCTATACGATCAATCATCTTCACTGAAGTCCATCGCTGACTACAGACAGCAGGTTCTCTACACGATCAATCATCTTCACTGAAGTCCATCACTGACTACAGACAGCAGGTTCTCTACACGATCAGTCATCTTCACTGAAGTCCATCGCTGACTACAGACAGCAGGTTCTCTACACGATCAGTCATCGTCACTGAAGTCCATCACTGACTACAGACAGCAGGTTCTCTACACGATCAATCATCTTCACTGAAGTCCATCGCTGACTACAGACAGCAGGTTCTCTACACGATCAGTCATCTTCACTGAAGTCCATCGCTGACTACAGACAGCAGGTTCTCTACACGATCAATCATCTTCACTGAAGTCCATCGCTGACTACAGACAGCAGGTTCTCTACACGATCAGTCATCTTCACTGAAGTCCATCACTGACTACAGACAGCAGGTTCTCTACACGATCAATCATCTTCACTGAAGTCCATCACTGACTACAGACAGCAGGTTCTCTACACGATCAATCATCTTCACTGAAGTCCATCAAGTGACTCTGCTGGAGATAAAGATCCAACTTTTCAAGCTGCCTCTGAGCAGCTGATTGGTCCACACCAGGTTTGATTGACAGCTTTGAACCGCACTAACAGGTGAACAATCTCCTGCAGACTGTCTGAACTGTACGTATAACGCTCTCTCTGTTTTTCCTGCAGCAGCTATTGGCTTAAAAAAAAAGACTTTTTGGTAAATTCTTTAAAGCTTCTGAACTTATTGACACTAATGATCTTTAAAGAAATGAAAATTTTGACCTTCAACAGATTTGTAGAAGGTCGCATCAGATATCGATGGTCAGTGTAACCTAGGGCTGGGCGATATGGACTCATAAAGAGGTTAAAACTCATATCTCAATATTTTTTCACTAAATGGCGATACCTGATATACTGTATATCGATATGTCTTTTATTAACAGTCAGTTGCACAAGTTCAACATGTTCATGAAAACAAACTTCCTGTTTGTGAAATTAATTAATTTTCTGCATAAAAAAATAAACACAGCTGTGTGTTTTGTTATCCATTTAGTTTTTTGAGTTTGGCTCACAGAGAGAGAGAGAGAGAGAGAGAGAGAGGAGCAGGGTGAAGAGAGAGAGAGACCGTGACATGAGAAATAGGTGAACTGGCAGCTCTGCAGAAGAAACGTATAACGTTATTTTAATGCAACATGAACTATATTGTATTACTCCATATCTGGAGTGAAAATATATCGATATATCTTAAAAACTCGATATATCGCCCAGCCCTAGTGTAACCCCTCAGAGGACAAACTCCTGTTTGTTAGTCGCTCTGTTTGATTCCCTCTGCGGCCCACTGAAGAGTCTGCTTGTTGACTTTAATAAAATAATTACAGAACTTCTTCCTCTCTTCACGTTGTTGTTGTTGTTGTTGTTGTTGTTGTTGTTGTGAAGTTTGTTGGAGACTCGTGAGAAGAAGTTAATGAGACGAGCCGTCACAACGGCCCGACAGGTGGAGCTCGGCCAATTATCTCCACCCGAGCATCGAGACAAACAAACAAACAAACAAACAAACAAACAAACACACATCATCTTTAACGACCCAGTGCAGGAGATCTGCACACGGGGGGCGGGGTGTTTGACAGCTCGATGGCGCTCACCCTAACGCCTCACGGTGGTTAACTGAACGCCACACTGAGAACAGCAGAAACAAATATCAACATTTAAAAATAATGAAGTCAGAGTTTACCCGGGCCGGACATCGAGCAATCTTCTCCTCCGTGTCCTTCAGGGCGACGGCGTATTCATGGACGTCTTCTGAAACCACGACCATCTGAAGAAGAAATCAGACAAACAAATGAGTCACTGAGGGAATCCTGGTTCTCCAGAGAGCGTTTTCTACCTGCAGAACTCTGAAAGAAAACGAGAAACTGTGGCACAAACACGCCTTAACCCGCTTTATGACAGCTGACCACTTCCTGCTCAGACGCCGCCTCAGGGCGAGAGACGTGTCAGCAAAACAAACATGGCAGCAGCAACAAGAGCGTCTGACTGTCGCTCTCTTCTCTCGTTGGTGTAAATTAGGTGGAGACGTCTTATCTTTAACGCCATGGTGGCGTTTAATAGAGCAGAGCCCTCACGATGCCGCAGTGGTCTCACGTCTCTAAGATTTGTAAAAAATAAACTTCCCAGGCGTCTGCAGAGATAAGATCTTCATGATGAAGCAGGATACGAGTACTGAGCCGTGGTGTTAAACAGGAGCATCATGTGCGAACAGCTGGGTCAGGAGGATTTCAGAGGCGGTCCTCCTGAAATGATCCAGATGTGATAACGGCATTAGAGACGTGGAGACGGGCTTCAAGGTCAAAGGTCGTGAACCACAAGAAAATGTAAAGCTACAGTGGATAGCAGTAAAGTTCTGGTGGCGTTGAGACTCCTGCAGACTGAACTGAGGGCACTAACCATAAATAATTCAGTGCATGATTGGATAAAAAGAAAGCTAGATCATCCAGGCAAACAGCTAAATTCTCCTTCCATGGCTCTAATGCCTCCTCAGAGTGAGGTCCAGAGACGAGCACGTTTCATGTTCTCAGGAGAACGACAGAACATTTCAAACTCACAGAATATAAAGAGTCTGTGCTGAAATAAACCAAACAAACTCACAGACATCGGGAGAGTCTTCAGATCACATTTTCAGAAACAGAGGAAGTACCTGTAAGAAATGTAGCGTTCGACTCCCTGTGTCATAAAAAAAACAAATTATTCAAAACTGAACCGGCTGGTTTCCCAGCAGAGACTGAGCCTCATCTTCAGACGGTATCATGGAGCTCTGAAGGCGACCTGCGGGGGGGGTCTGTTTCTCTAAATTAGAAAAAGGAGTTTGTAATAAGAGAGAGGTCAAGAGGGCGGCCGTCAGGAGGAACAATCTGTGATTCAACAGCAGAGCTGGATTACTGTGAGATAAGAAATAAAAGAGATGACAGAGAGGAGAGAGAGACTCCATCAGAAAAAACATCCCTCCATCATCTTCCTCTTAGAGGGCGGGGCGCCGTGGCAGCAGGCGGAGGAAGTCAACCCAGTGACCCTCTCCTCAGCGTCGTTTCACAGATCCTCTTGTTCACTTCATCTGTCTGTCTACTCTCCATTATAGTGAATAGTTTCTGCTGATAACATGTCTACACTCCTGCACTTTAGCTTCTGTATCACTGACTGCACAGCTCCCTATGTCAATACTGTCCATTTACATCTCCAGCAAAGTACGTTGTATTTAATCTTTTCATATTTAAGACTAGAAGTAATGCTTTCTTAAATCCTAGTTGTATATATTTTCATTCTTAGTTTTGATATTTTTAGTACTTATTTACTTTGTATTTAATATTATATTGTGTTTATTTGCTAATACTGTGTGTTTGGACTACCTGCTGCTGTAACGCCACAATTTCACAGTTTGGGATCAATAAAGTTATTCTATTCTATTCTATTCTCCTGGGGGATTCTGAGGCGGTCCCAGTCCAGGCGGGATTTAAAATCCCTCCAGAGAACTCTGGGTCTGCCCCGGAGTCTCCTTCCACTTGGACATGCCCAGAAAACCTCCACAGGGAGGCGACCAGGAGGATCCTGATCAGGCCCCCCGACGATGTGAAGGA